TCAAAAAATTGATTTTATACAGCATAGCAGAGTTCTATTCAACATTTGTTTATGTAAATGTAAATAAATTCAACTTTGCTGAGAAAAAAATTATCCAAGAGAAAAAAAGGTACCAAAGAAAGAGCAGAAGTTTTTGCTTGACTAAAGACAAGAAAAGAAGATGCGAATTGGTGGTATAGATTGTGTTCTTTCAACTAAATTACAAAAAAAGGTAACAAGAGCCTCTAAGACGAAAAAATCTAGTTTACACATTCACAAAATTCAAAAGAAGTATAATATTGAACAGCAGGAGTTAAAGGCAATATTTCTTCGCCTGGTAGGCTAAATTTAACTTCCACATCACAAATAAAAAAAAATAAAAATACAGTTTAAAGTTTGTCTATGTTGTCAAAAATCTGCGACCGTTACGGTATTTCCGACAGAGCAGCCGCTGCGATTGATTCTTCAGTATTGCACGATATATCTTCGAAAATTAAAGTAGTCGATATATCAAAAATATGGCGAGGAAAGAAAAAAAACGTAATGAATTATATAAACAACAAATACAGCTTCATTTATCTGCTTTATACTATGATGGACGAAAAGAAAAGACGCTAAATATTGTGAAAAAAGGAGCAAAAAGATACAGACAAACAGTGGTTGAGGAACATATCTGTTATTAAAGAACCAGATTCAGTTTATATTATATCCGTTACGCCAGTTCGAGGTACTGAAAAAAGTATTAAAACACCAATTAATAGGCTTCTCTTGTCACAAAAAATTATTCTAGATGATTTGATGACTATTGGTTGCGATGGTACGGTCATTAACACATAAAAACTAAATGGCGTGATTAGAACTTTCTAGGAAAGTCTTCAACGCCCCTTATAGTGGATTATTTCCATACTAAATTTAAACGAGTTGCTTTTGAGACATTTATTTATCAAATTAGACGGTATTGCCTATCCTTACATGCTAGTCCTATTGAAAAATTGTGAAAAATTACCAAATATAAACTATGAAAAAATACAAAAGCAAACTTCCAGAAGTCAGATTGAAAATACTTATATGAAATAGCAATGGCAGTAATCCCCGGGTAAGATGTCCTGTGCCCGATGGTTAAAGCAAATAGAATATAACAATTATATATTTCTACATCAAATCCATCAAATAAATTAAAACTATTAGCTAAATATTGTGTTAAAGTATATGCTTCAGTATGGTTTCAAATAAAAACAAATCCAACTTGCAATGATGGGTCTAAGTACTTTTGAAAATTAATTAAATATTCTTGATATCTGCCAGCACAGCTTGAACTAATATTAGATCCCGTAATTCAACGTAATGCCTATTTTGCCAACCCTGAAAATTTGCGATGTTGTGCGATGAATACAAAACAGTAAGAGAACTCGCTGGCAAGAGAATACTTAAATCACGAAACTCACCTCATACAGGAAAGATACCTCGTGTGTTTGTAGTGCCGCAAATAAATTTTAATGCCAATTGTTATTTTGAGCTCATTATCTGGCAAAAAAGTTATTTCAATCCACCAACTCTTCGACACATCACTAATCAGGAAAAAAACGAGTCTCAGGGCGGCTTAAATTTAATTTACTTAAAGCTACCATGTCATAGGCAGGCAGTCGAACGCTCTGTGAAAATAGTGACGGAAGCATCTATGTCTTTATGCGATAAAAAATCAAGAGAAGGTTAAATACGGGCGAAACTTGCATCCAGAAAACTTACGCCCCGATTTGACAGTAAACAAGATTTTGTGGGCAAAACTTAATCAGTTAGATTTTATTTTACAGTATATCAATGTATATTAATACCAAATTTTAGTATCATGTTTAATGCATGTGTATTCTATATTTTATTTTTTCATTTTCTATCATTACGTAATTGTTTCTTAATAAAATATATACATTTAATCAAACGTTGTTTTTTCGAAAATTCCCCAAACTTTAAATCATATGTGCGGGCTTAAGATACGACTTTATTTAACTCTTTATAGACAATTTGCATTTGTTTAGATCTAAGACAACATAATACCACTATTAGAATATGATCAAATAGCTTTTATTTTTTTTCCTATATATGATATGGAACGGACTGTACTTACAGTGTTACAAAATATGATGATACCCGTCCTAAAAAAGAAATATAAAAGATTAGCTGGATTTCAGTCAACGAAGATAACTAGCGTGATTAAAAAATCCATCTTATAATTGGTGCTGGTGATATTGCTTCTGAACTGGAAATGATGGAAAAGCAATTGCGGTAGAAACCATATTTAGGAGAAAGGTCATAGGTACCGGGACAAAGTACTTCAGGACCGTGACAAAGTACTTCAGATTGCTTATATTTTACAAAACCAACAAATGATTGCTGCAAATAACTATACAGCTTGGATATTTTTGGTTTAGAGAATCAAAGCAAAAGAAGTTTCAATTTCAAAAAACAACTAGAGTAAAACGCGACCGGTTTTTAATGCGACCATTTTAACAAGTCACCTTGAAAAGGAGAATGTTTAAAAATAACATCTTATTATGATAGGAGTATTGCAAGATTGTAGAACATACAAAAAAACTGGAAAAAACCAAATGGTGTTATCGAATATAACGTTATTATTCAAAAACAACTTAGAGATGGAATAGTTAAACATGCTACAATCTAACTAACTAAGAAGTTATTCTAATTGCCTAATCAGGTGATAATAATAGAAGATTCTGAAACAACTAAGCCAAGGATTGTTTTTTATGCTTTTGCTTAAGACCACGAGCACTTCATTTCATCGACTTACTAATTAGCACTACTTGACACATTAAAGCGACTAGCTCTTCACAAATAGTTGATGACAAGTATTACACATTTCCCCTGTTTCCTTCTTTTTTCTATACGCATTGTTAAAAATGGATCATACTTTGCTTTCGTAACGGCAAACCTCATGCTGCCAAAAATTTAATGACATCTACCACGCGCTCCAAAACTGATCTCCAATGATTCGTCTGACTCTTAACTTTTTCTTTATGAATGATATTAACCATTCATACATAACAACAAATAATTGGTAGCCAACCACGATTTTCTATGTAAGTCAGAATTGCTGCTAAGTGGCATTATCAGTTTTTATTTAAATAAACTGTAATTATATACACTAATATCTAAAAGTCGCGTGACCATTTTAGTTTTAAACGTCGAGTGTTAAATTGGGCTTTATAACATCGCAGTTTTATTAGAAAATTTAGTGCGAAATTTTTAGTATAAACCAGTAAATAAGTAAATCACCAGTTATTTAATTAAATGATCAGTAGATTGATTAAATGATTAGTAAATTAATTTTAATTCAGAAGACCAGAAAAAGTTTAAAAACATAAAAAAGATTTTTCTTTAAATTGATAAATTGCCCAAACCAAAATTTACCTTGCCTACCCAAACCAAAATCTTCAGTCGATTTATGTACACTCTTACATGATTGTTTGACCCGTTCTATTGATTGTTTAACCCGTTTTATTGGCAAAAAAAATTTAATTACTGATCAAAATTTACTTAGATTTGAATAAAAAAATATTGATCATCAAACTGAGCGAATGAATAAACCAATTTTAGTATGTCCAAAGGGAAGACATCAAATTATAAAATATATCTTTCAATTATATAAAGTTTTTTTGATTACACAGTAATCAATTTACAAAATAACAAATAACAAATTTTAGATCGGTTAAGTCACTGAACTGACTTCAGACTGTTCATTGTCTAAAACTTATTATTTGTTGTTATGTAAATTGGTTCCCGCGTCCAATAAAATAGACCTGAAAAAACTTCCTCAGAAAATAAATTAGGAAATAAATTTTCTAGACCGTCTAGAAAATTCATTTCCTAAATTATTTTCTGAGGAAGATTTTTCGTCTAGTAGACGTTTTTAAGATTTAGTTAGAAAAGTACGAAAACAAGTTGTACAAATTCTCAACAATTTTTGATAACAAGGAGAAAGAAAACTAAGTCATTGTTGCCTACTCTTATGGTAATGTTTGCTAACACTTTTTAAGTAGTAAACTCTTCAAACATAAAGTCATTCACTTACAAAAACAAAGTTAATCACTTGCCTACTACGCTACTTTACGAATCATGCGAATCATTACTATTTTTAATGTAATTTTTAAATTTTTTTAAAGATACCAAAGTGTTTGTAGAGACGTTCAATTCAATTTAAAATTGCGCAGTGTGATTAGATTAAACTTTTGGTATTCATTTGGATATTACAAATGTTTAAAAAAACAACTGTTAACCGAGTTTATATAAATTGTTAAGGAACCAGTGTCGTGACTAGTGGTCAGAGGCCCCCCAAAAAATTATCTTTAGAAAATGCTCACTATGTTTTACTAAAAAAAACGCTCAGTAAGCCACAGCTCTGAAAAAAGTATAAAGTTTATTCCACTAATAATAAAACATTTATTTTTATAAAGCTCCCTAAGATTTTTAAAACAAAGAAATTCTTAAGAGAAAAATTGGCAACAGCAGATGTTTAAGCAAACATTATTCGATGCGATACCATAAGTTTTTTTATCAAAATATTATAGCGTTTAGATAACACTAACATTCTTAACTTAAGCAGTGGCGTTATAAAACATTTTTCTTTTTCGATTTTTGTCCTTGAAGTCTTAATAAGTTTGTTGAAAAAATCAAAGTCTAAATACACTTATTCCAGTGAATGTTGCTTTTAAAGCGCCATACCAAGACTCCAGCATTGGCGTCACATTGAATCATTTACATAAATAACCAATATTGAGCAGTTTAATTGCGATTACTTTTTTTACTCAAACGCTTAAGTAAAGTAAACAACGTGAAAAACTTATTCAAATATACCGACAAACTTTAGAAAAAGTAAAAAATAAAATTTAGGTTCCTTCTATTTATTGCGGGAAACAATATTTGTTTGGGATCTCTTTCAACAGATGCAAACGCAAATGCTATTATTGAAATAAGTTTATCATGTTATTTATCTATAAATAATCTCAAGTTATAACTTATTTTAGTATTAGATGCTCTTAAATGTTGTTATTTTTAAATAAAACAGCAAGTTTTTTTTGGCAAATTGAGATCGCAATAAAAGTTAAACACTGAACCTTTCTATTTATCTAGAACAGCAAAAAGCTATGAATCAACATCTTGTTATACTTTTTACTTATTTCTTTCAAACATCTTGGTTGTTAAGTGATTATCATTTAAAAGATGAAGAATTTAAGGAAGGTACTTTTATCAGGATCGATCATGTATCATATCATTTTTTATTATAAGAAAGTTTTTCCTATTTGATCGATAATTTTAATTAGACGCACACGCACACACGCACACACACATCTATAAAATATTCTCTCTCTCTCTCTCTCTCTCTCTCTCTCTCTATATATATATATATATATATATATATATATATATATATATATATATATATATATATATATATATATATATATATATATATATATATATATATATATATATGTATATATATATATATAAATATATATATATATATATATATATATATATATATATATATATATATATATATATATATATATATATATATATATATATATATATATAGTATATATATATATATATATATATATATATATATATATATATATATATATATATATATATATATATATATATATATATATGTATGTATATATATATATATATATATATATATATATATATATATATATATATATATAAATGAAAGCTTTTGTTTTAGATTCTTCTGGTAATGATTCAGCAATGGATACAATTGTTAAAATTAATCAACGTAAGTTAATTTAATATAGGTTATTAACTCTTTTGTTGTTTTCATTTTTTTAGTGATCCATTTGATTTGATTGCATTAAATTTTTAAAAATTCTCTATCTAGGTGCATAATATAAAACTATTTAATAGTAAGTTAAATTGTTATCAATTTACGTTGAAAAAGGGTTTTTGAATCAAAAATGTCCATTTTTTTATGGTTTTGATTTTTAAAATTATTTAAGTGAATTTAGAGCTAAACCCATGTGTATGCCAAATTGTCATTTTTTAAACTACATTAGTTAATGTAATTTTATTTAGTTTTATTTTATAAACATTACTTTTATGTGATACTTTTAGTGTTTTTTGTTGTTGTTGTTGTTGTTGTTGTTGTTGTATTGCTTAGTGATTTTTAGCAGATATATAACATTAGAAAATAAAACAACAAACAGATACAACATAAAAAAATTGTTTTATCTTAAACTACAGGTTCAGGTTCCAAAATGTCAGACAATCCAAATAGTTATTCTACTAAAGAAACTCTAGTCACCAACTAAAGTAATAAAAATATATTATTTAGAGATTTTAATAAAAAATATAACTTATGAAAAGCTGTATCATAACTGTCAACGATCAACAGTCTATAGTTTATAAAAGTGCAACAAATAGAATGAAAGTAATCAAAAAAAGTATATCAAAAACATTCAAGTCAAAAAGCACCACATGAAATTGATAGTTATTAGTAGGAAACAGTTTCACTTTATAGCCACATCTAGAGTCTTATGGCTAATCTATTACAATACCTTTTGTATTCAAATTATGACCATATAAAACTTCCAACTCCCTCAAATTGAGGGGGGTTTAAACTTTATATGGTCATAACTTTTGAACACTAAAATATTTTACTATAAAATTTAAAATTTCTCGATGAATATAAGTTTAGTTGAAAATTGTACAAAAAAAATTTCATCAACACGTTGCTCTCTCAAAATTTTAGGGTTTCTTGTTCCAATACTCCTTTCACAGTATTTTTTTTATTAGATTTTCTGATGAGTCTTTGTTGATGAAACACAGTGTAAAATGAAAAAAATTTTTGTTAAGTGATTTTCTACTAATTTTTATATATATATATATATATATATATATATATATATATATATATATATATATATATATATATATATATATATATATATATATATATATATGTATATATGTATATATATATATATATTTATGTATATATACATATATATATATATATATATATATATATATATATATATATATATATATATATATATATATATATATATATATATATATATATATATATATATATATATATATATATATATATATATATATATATATATATATATTTATATATACATACATATATATATATATAAATGTATATATATATATATATATATATATATATATATATATATATATATATATATATATATATATATATAATATATATATCTTGATCAATCTTGAATCATAGTCTTTCTTACTAACTCACAATGTCTAATGCGTTCCACATAAACGCGAACTTACAAATCAAAATACTATGTATTTCGTTACCAACTCTCAACAGTTCACCCTGTTTGGGAAAGCTTTTACTATTACTTGAATAAATAAATCTAGATGTTTAATTGTAAAACTTTATTGGTCTATTAATTTACTTGGGATACGATTTGCTTTCTACTACTTTTCTTTCATTATCATTTTTGGTGTTTCACATAGTATACTTTCAGTTTCAGGGTTTAGGAGTTTTTTTATAAGTTGTATATTACGCGCCAACGTTTCCTTTATGATTAACTACAACTATTAAATTTTGCTTTCTTTCTTTAACTATATATTTCTTGTATAAATATATTGAGCCTAATTTTCCTCCCGGTTTATGGTATTTTACAAGAACCTGATCTCCTACCTTAATGCAATGCCTTATCTTTGCATGATGTTTCATATCAAAATTTTCTTTTACTTTTTTATTTTTTTTATCTTGACTTTCTCTCACTTCTTTATCATTCGGTGTTTTTTAAACTTTTATTGAAGGAAACTTTGCAATTTTTGATATTTCTATTGAATAATAACATAGCTGGTGGTTTTTCACTTTTAGCATGAGGTGCACATCTATAATTTCAAAGGATACTTTAAAGTTCCTTTCTTCAAATTTTCCCCATAAAATGATTTATTTTAATTGTTTTTTCTATCACTTGCTCAAATTTTTCTACTATACCGTTTACTTGCGAATATCGAGGCGTTATTTTAATGTGAATTTGTTTGACATCCAAAACACTTTTTAACATATGCTTCTACATCAGTATTCATAGTGACCCAGTAAACTTTTTGTCGCAATAATCCTTTGCATTTTTCAATACTGAAATGTCTTTCATGTACAATTTGTAAAGCTCTTTTTTAAATCGACTTTGATAGAACAATTTTTTCTCCTAATAATATGATTCCTTCGTGATCAGTTAACTCATTTTGAAATTTATGCCTGCAATTTGATTTGCCATCTTGCAATACGTGCATTTAATTTAGAGACAGAAGAAAAAATGAACTTGAGAGGTTTATGGTCCACTACGACCTTAAAGGTTTTCCATATAAATACAAGTGTAACTTTTTAATAGCATATACCAAAGCGAGAGCTTCCTTTTCTGTAATGCTATACTTTAACTCGGCTGCGGTTAATTCTCTGCTTATGTAGCAGATTAGTTTGATCCATGTTCCTTCTTTTTGTAAAAGTATTCCACTTATGACATGATTACAAACATCAGTAATTAACTGTACTTCTTTGCATGGATCATAAAAACCCAAAACTAATTCACTTGATAATTCACGTTTAAACATGTTGAAAGCATCATTATATTCTTAAATTTTGAATTTTTCTTTAATAATTCCCGTACAGTTGTTTTTTCACTAAAGTCTTTAATAAATCCTAATATATATGTGCATAAACCAAGAAAACTTCGAAGCTCGCTGTTGTTGGTGATCTTGCATTCTTGATAAATTCTTTGTTCGGATCGGGATTAAAACCATTTTCAGATATTTGAATACCAAAAAAAAATTTTTATGAGCAAAAATATACTTTTTATAAATTTAATTTAAGACATAATACCCTTGTTTTGATGAACAAAAGTTCTAATTTTTTTCATAAGTCGTAATTATCTGATGCGTGTAACATCGTCACTGATAAACTTTACTCCCTCTATTCAACCATAGCTTTGCTCCATAGTTTTTGAAAAGTTTAAAACGAACTGTTGATCCCATACACTAATCTTTTGTGTTGATAGACTCCCACATCCGTTTGAAAACTTGTAATTTTTCTTGAATCAACATCCAACTCTAATCGAGTATACACTGCGTGACATAATGACTTATCATACCCCAAAAAGATTTATAAAACTCTACTTTACATTTATATTTAAAAACTAATTTTTATTGTAAATGAAAGCAAAGGGTTTACAACACTAAACAACATTTTAACAAATTTATTTTTAACGTAATTCGTATTTCATTGCGACAAAATTATAAGAAAATTTTACAAAAAACGTTTTATTTGCCAACCGCAGTTGTTGGCAATTAAGAATATTTATTTGATGTAAACACCACAAACGATTATTTAACTGTAAAGTTTTGTGAACAAAATTTTAGTTTAGGTTTTTTTTTTATCAAGTATAAAATTAAAAATTAATTAATAATGGGTCGTGCTGCACCGTTGAGTCCAGATGAGAAAAAAGTGCTCTCTAACTTATCGAAAATGAGTCATCCCGTTAGTTACATGGCTAGAGCTATTAGACGCAGCCAAGGTTGTGGTTAAAAACAACCTTGATGATCTTTATATGTATAAAATAAAAAAATTCCCGGACGTCTATCAACATTAAGTGACCATAATAGGCAAAGGTTGTTAAGACAAGCATCAAGTTCTTCATTAACTGCACGTCAAATTGCTGCAGAAGCAGATGTAAATGCTAATTTACGTACAGTTCAATTAGTTATGCATAATACTTTTCAGCTTTCGCGCAAAAAACTTCAGCAAAAACTACCTTCGACAACAAATCACATAAACGATCAAATAACTTTTGCAAAAGACCACGTAATATGGAAAGAAGAGTGGAAACAAATAGTTTTTTCTGACGTAAAACAATTTTGTCTTCATGGGCCAGATTGTTGGAATTATTATTTTCACATTTTGCGTAGAGAACCAATGATTTGGTATGCGATTGGGTATCATGGTGAATCAAAAATTCATTTTATTAATAAAAAAATGAATGCCAAGGATTATCTTTTTGTGGTTCAATAAGTTTTAAGACGTGAAAAATTTGTCATAGGTGGTGAAAATGTATATATATATATATATATATATATATATATATATATATATATATATATATATATATATATATATATATATATATATATATATATATATATATATATATATATATATATATATATATATATATATATATATATATGTATATATATATATATATATATATATATATATATATATATATATATATATATATATATATATATATATATATATATATATATATATATATATATATATATATATATATAATTTCAGCTTTGAAACAACCTATTAATTTTAAAGTATTCAAAGTAAAAAGGAAATATCAACCAACCATTTTGAAAAATATGGTTGTTGATGACTTCAAATTTGAATTCTTTCAAACGTATTTTTATCAATTAAGATCCCACTGGAACCTAAGTCCATAATCATTTTTCTCGAGACGTTTATAGTATTACATTTATTGATTTTCTTTTATTAGATTATCTTTTCTGCGTTAAACTAGATGTCAGGGCAAGCGTTTCTTCTTATTCATTTTCTGAGCTGTGTTCCTTTTTAGCTTTATTACTTATTTCATTAACTTGTTGTTTTGTCCTATACAATATTTGTAGAGTATTTTGGTAACAAATAGCTAAATGATCTTTTGAAATTTGAAACACATTTTGCCAATAGTTTTTCAATCTTTTTGGTGT